CCACAGATATACCGGTCACATTTCACCACACAACATACCTACTTACGTCGAACGCACCCGTCGAGTACGCGCCGTATTTCCGCCGTTCGCACAACCGTCGTACCGTTTTCCGTTCTGTTATATAATAAAATCGCTGCCTAGAGGATCCCGCCGCGGAGTCCTCGCAACTGATATACTACTCCTCTCCTTACCCTGAAGTATTAGTAGTGGTACAGCATCGTCTGTACTGTTCAAGCTACTATTACTCAGCGTGGGAGAGGAAAAATCTCCCTAAAACTCGCTATATAGAAATCTGCAGTGATACAGCACCACTGTATTGTTCAAGCTGCAGATAGCTATATAGTAAAAACGTTCGTTGAAAAACCAATATTACACAGACTCTGCAGTGGTACAACTCATCATTGTACTGGTCAAGCTGCAGCTCTCTGTGTAATATATTCGCTCAGAGGTAAAATCGCATCATCCGTCGTCGCCGTCGTCCGACCGCTATTACACCGTTGTAAGTGTTCTAATCACCACGGATTAAATAAACGTCAGCGCTGTTACACTTCGTCGCTGCGGATCCACTTCATACCACTGAAGCTACTGTACACTGTTGAAACCCGTTGGAAGGAAGGAGGTCAAATCTCATAACGATTCCGCATCGAGGACGAGTCATACCACCGCCCGATTGTAGTCTACGTTACACCATCGCTGCCATACTCTGAGAGCTTGGAAGATAGCCCAGCAGTCACTGTCACGATCGTTAATTGCCACCAATTTCCAAACGGTTACATTAAAACAGAAGTTAAACGTGAGTCTTTTAACTTGTTCATTTTAAAACGTATCATATTATATCTGTAGCTCGAAGAGCAAAAATACATATTAACTAAAAGAAAATATTGTATTGAAAATATTACCAATACCATAGTATCACTGTAGCTCGAAGAGCACATATATACAGGGTGATTCTTTTATCAAACAACACTCATTATTTGAAAAAGTATTGACTTTTTTCAAATTTTTTTTTTTGAAAAAGTATTATGCTGTTCTAGAATTTAATATTTTTTATATTTTCACCGTTTATTTGACTATCAACTTTTGATTTTCAAATGGTAACCTATACTAAAAATTTCATAATTGAATAAAACTATTTTTTTCATTAATTATTACGTTCAAATTTTCATTTTTCGTTAATCCGTTGATGAGATATTGCTCCTCAAAGTTAGGTGGTTTTTGGAGATAGTTATAGTGTGTAAATGTGTTATACCTCGTCAGTAGATACCGCAGCTATCAGGATTTTTATGTCCCAGGGCAAAATATATCACACTTTTCAAATCAGTTCATAAAGTACTTAGAGCCCCTAAATGTATTTTATTATGCCCATCTTTCAGGGAGTCATGAAGTTGACCACACGAAGGTGATTGCGGCACTGGTGGTCGTAATAATTATTATCAATTATAAAGACCAGAAGTTACAAGTAATAAATTCGATATCGTTCGACCCAAGATATAGCGGTGATAATCTTTGTACCTGTCAGCCGATAATACCTACATACAATAACAAACGATCATATTATTATTGGTCTGCTTCTGTTTGTAGCTTCGATCACAATTTAATCTCTATTCTATGCTACGACACACCATAGACTAACATACGGAAATATAGAATTATTTTAGTCCATAAAAGTTAATGTTGTCCATGGTTTATCATTATAACTGTCTATCATACAGAAAATACAGTGTTACCAACATGTGTATTTACAAAATAAATAGTAACAGTAACTTGCTGTTTATTTATGTCACAAATAAAATCCCGTTTTTGTTATTCAGTAGACTGCCTGTACTACAGTTGCAACAACTGTTAACTGTTTTAAATCGCTGCTGTAGTAGTGTACAGTAATTTATTGTCTGTAGTTGTCTGTTACTCGTTACTGACTATTATAATTTATAGCATGGTGCATACTGCATAAATATACAATATATGATATAATAACCATATTTAATAATGGACCATAATGGCATAATATTAACAATAAATTAACTTAATAGGTAACTTAATTTTTTTTTTTATACATATAATATACATATAACTGTGTATAGCTTTGGTAGATTTAACTAATACAAAATAATGTGTTAATTAATAATTATTATTATAGATTTAATATATCTATTTTATGCTGTTTAGTGTTTACCTTTTGGATACTTTGAACATGTAAATGCCTATTAGGATTTAAGTTTTTTAGTGATAATTTTTTTTTTTTTTTTTAACTAATCAAATATCCTCTTCTCATATAAAATATCATTTGAGCATGTTTATTACAAATCTGGAAATACAATACTCTGAACTAATTTAATATTAAGTATAAACAACTCTTTTTTTTGATATTTGCAATTTCAATTTAATACATTTACAATTTCAAATCAAATATTAGTATAATATAAATAATTCACCATACATAGCTTCAATAGTTGTAATATACTTTGTAGGACTAGGTCTTTTTGACCAATCACATGAATTTAATCAATATGTAGGTATTTAAATAACAATGACATACATCCAAATATACATATAGGGCACTGATCAACTCATATAATTATATTTTATGTAAAAAAAAAAAAATATTTTCAATGTCGTGAATAGGGTTTGAGACCATTGGCGCAACTAGAGGGTGCAAACGGGTCTTTAGCACCTCTTGTTTTTTTAGATTTAACTATCATTATTATAGTGAAATACCCCCAATTTAATGTTTTTAAAATATGAAATATTATAGCACCCCACGTTTTAAATTTTTTAATGTATATTTTTTACTTTAATATGATGCAAGTGATAACCACTAACAAAAACTAGGGAGAGAATAACCATTTTTTAGATTGCTTAATTTTGATTATTTAAATGTTTTTTTAAGCGTTTGATTTGATGATTTTAGGTTCTGTTTAGCCCTGAACCCTGTTCACGGCAAAATTCCTCACATATTATACTGATATTATTATGAACCATTAAACAATTTTACCTTAATAAGCCTAGGACTATGAAAAACCTATTTCAAAATGATGATACAGTTTAATCTAAATGTTCGTTTTGCAGTTAATATGCAAAATATGAGTAAAGATAAAACGTGTATTCAAAAAATTAAAACAAACTTTTCAATCACCCCAGACTTAAAAAGCAAAATTTAAAAATGGTGTTAATAATATTCTAACTTGAATTTAGTACTAATTATTATTTGGTGACAACACCAATCATTGACAGAAATAATTTAGTATTTATCATTATGACATTATACAATGTAGCACAGTAGACTAATGTTTTTGGATGTTTAGATTATTATATCTCTTTTGTTAAAGGGCTTGTCCGTAAAAAAAAAAAAAATGTTAAAATAAAAAATAAAAATAAAATTATTATTAATCACATAGCCAGCTAAAAATTCTTAATTTGATTTAGGACATAATCTACATATTAAACAAAATAAATATCTATATCTATGTATATTATCTTTAAAGTTGTAATGATTGATGTTGTCACCTAATTTAAATTATTTTTAAACTAGCATACAAATTATAAAGCTTTAACATTAGCACAATTTTTAGTTTTCAATACATTATTTTTTTTTTTTTTTTCATTCCGAAAATCGGTTAAATGATTACTGATGTCCCTCTCCACTTATATTCCTCTTCAACTTCCAGTATGTTCCTATTCTGGTATCTTCAATCACTTGCTTCAGAAATGGAGTTCTAGGCCTTCCTTTTCCAGGTTTCCTCCTGATTACATGTCCGATCCATGCTTTTCTTCTCAATCTTAGCGTACTCTGTATTGATTTTTGATTCTCCTGAATACCTCAACATTTTTTTTATTTTTTCTGTCTATTGAATTTTCAGCGTTTTCCAACATCATACTTTAAAAGCTTTTATTTTGGCTTTCTCAGTCTTCAGTAGTGTCCCAATCTCTGCTCCATATAGATCTACATTCCACACAAAGCCTTTTATAAGTGATTTTCTGCTGTCCCAACTTATTCTATTTGAGGTAAAAAGATTAATTTTTTTATAGTAGGCCTGTTTGGCATGCGCTATTCTACATACTGTATATGTACGACTTTTCTCATCGCTTGTGATTGAATAGGTATGTGAAGTTTAAGTGTTCTTTAAGCGTGTCGTTCATTTCTTCGAACATGTTAGTTATGTCTTTTTCACTTTCTGCAATTACAACAACATCATCTTTTCAATACATATCAGATATCATAACATTAGATTTTGCTGGATATTTAGAACCATCTTCTTGTACATATTCAAATGATAAATAAAGTTTTGAATTTTTAATGTTCAGAAATTTATCTTTACCATCTACTATAACTATTGTATTTCGGTTTGGTTTATTCAATTCTGTTGTAATTTGAGGTATATAACTTTCATATTGACTATTTATTATATTATTATCATATTTATTTAAAATATTTTCCATTTCTTATTTATATTACCAAATATATATATTTTTTTTAATAAATGGATAAAGTAAAAGTAAAATTTTTTATTGAAGATGAAAATAAAAAAAAATCTTTATTTGAATTAGCCCCCCCTGTCAAAATTTTTAGTCCCACCAACGGTAGCTACATTTTTCAACTTTAATTTTAAATATTGTTTTTTTTTTTATTAATATATTGGAAAAATATTTATTTTTTTGGTTATTAAACTGTTATGTAATGGCCCAGACGTAATACGTATCATGTCGAGTATTTTTAACTACAGAAATACTACTTAGAAGTTGTCAACAAACTTAACACAAAAATAGTCGTTAAAGACGATTATTCGTTATTAGTGAATGGTGATAACGATTAACGAGTAACGACAATCGCTGTGCCTGCGAGCCGCATATTTCTATTGCAATTGTTTTACAAAAAGAAGTTGATGAAAATAATGATAGGGATATTTCCATAGCTATTGGTTGGTATATTAATTATTAAATACATTTTAAGAGACAATAACACTCATAAGTAATATTTTATAATTTTTGTAGGAATTTTAGCAATGATACAAAATGGTTCCTTTATTGTTCATCTTCATATTATAAATTATGTATTGGGTATCACCAATATTTTAAGCAATAAATTGCAAAATACAAATGGGACATTAGGTGAAGCAGCTTGTCTAATTAATGGAATTATAAATACATTTGAAAATAGTAGAAATTCAGATTCACACTCAGATGTTTGGAATGCAATAGTCACATTTTCTCTTGAAAATAACATAGATTTGGAAATGCCTTCGACAATAGCTACATGTGAGTATTTTGAATACCTACTTTATAAATTTAACAGGATACCTAATGTTAAACATAAATAATATTATGAAACTTAATTTTTTTTTTTAGTATCAAAAAGAAAAAGACAAGAGCCTGCTGCATTAAAGAATTTTCATGTTACAACAACCACTGGTGCAGACGATGGAGGTATTCAATATGAGGATAATGTCAAAGAATATTGGAAAAAACATGCTTTCTATCCTGTGATTGATAGTATTTTAGTTAACATGAAACACAGATTTTCACCAGAAAGTCTAAAACTGGCCATATCAATTGATAACTTCATTAATCTAGAATACAAACAAAGTGACATTTTTGTAAACCAGTATAAAGTAAATTATTAAATCATGTAGCCATGTACCTAAGTAATACTATTCATTAATATTATAATTAGTCAGATTTTGTTTTCTTATGTTTTCAGGCTTTATTAAATATTAATGAAACTGACTTAAAATCCGAAATTTTGGTTGCAAAAAATTGTTATGATACTCAATTGGAAAAGGTTAACAATCGCCAGGAACATTTAAATCAGCTAAAAGGTATCGTGGAAAAATCTGTTTTCCCAAATTTATACAAAACGCTACATTTAGCGCTTTCAATTCCTACAAGTTCTGCATCTTGTGAAAGAACGTTTTCAGCTATGCGTCGAATTAACACATACATGAGGTCAACCATGCTACCAAATCGGTTTTCAAAGTTATCAATCATATCAATTGAGAGAGATTTGTCAAACGTTCTAAACAAAGAAGATATTTTAAATAAATTTTCCAACACCGAGCGGAGGCTTAAGCTGAAATAGTTATCTTTAAAATTTCATTAACGTTCACTTACGTTTTAAGAATTATCTTGTATCTAAAATAATACTTAATAATATGTTACTATATTTATGTTTACCTACCTCAATACCACTTTTTTATTATTTGTTTTATACATGCCATACACACTACAAAATGTATAGTAATAAAATAATATTATAATTTAATAATGAATGTTATTTGAGGAACGTGTATGGGGGGTGTGGGAGGCAGAGCCCCCACATTTGTTATTCATATTAAATATGTTAGGGCTGAAGCCCCCCCTAACTTTAAGGTCTAGTTACGCCTATGTTAATATCACTCATTGTAATAAATTTATTTTAAAATTTTAACAAATAACAACTATTTTAAATAAAAATTGTTTCAATTTGAAATAATTTGAAAAATCAACGAGAAAATAATATATTGTCAAATATTATAATGCAATTTTACAACTCTTGTTATATTGTATGTACGTATTAATAATAAGTAATAACTCTATGATATTATATATCCACGCGGACGCGGGTAACAAATGTGATACAAACAATTAATGATTCACATGAAACGACAGTGATAATAAAATAAATATTATTGATAAAGACGAAGATAAATCAGACGATGCATGATAGTGAGGATAACTCTTTTTTCCATAGCTCATAAATATATTTATATAAATAACACTTTATAGTATTATAATCATTCTACATATTATATACTATATCTAGATATGTGTTGGTGATTGATCAACATAGTATTACAACGTACGACAATAATCGATTAACAAAGTACGAGTATATGTATGAAGTATTATCATTAAAAAATTAATAACAATAATTTTTCTAGGGGGGTGACATGTCACCCCCTTGCACCCCCTAATGGGCGCCCTTGAATATTTGTAATCATTAAAAATAAATTATATATAACATGTAACTTAACATTAAAATATTATTGTATCCAATGCTATAGTAATATAGTATGTTATTGTATTAGTTATTAAGGTATAATGTGTTAACCAAAAATTTTAATTATTATGTTATTATGTTTAAAAATCAGATGAAAAATATATTATATATTGTTATGTAATGAAACTGTTATGTTATATAAAAAAAAAATGTTATGTTATGTTATGTTGTTATAAAAAGAAATATTGTTATGTTTTGTGATGAAAAATTATGTAAAATGAAAATCATTATTTCATGAAAAGAAATTATGTAAAATTGTCTTTATGACAATTATTAACAATTTATGTACTTTGTATTTATGTCCATGTTTTATGTAAAATTCCTTTAAAGATTTTTGTAGTTCTACAAATTGTAGCCCTACAAAAACCTTTGAAAAGGCGAGGAGGTGTAACGGGCTGTGACTACGTACATATTATAATAGTATATTAATATTATATTCAATAACAGATATAAATGCTGCAGGGGGCACTTAACCCGATAATAGTAATAATATAAGCGTCCGGGGAGCCACATCGATAAGAGCACAGAACTAATTAATGGTACAGCGCGAACCCTGATAGGTATACGCGCACATTATCCATATTCTAGGAAAGACGAAAAAGCCGTAAACAACAAAAATAGATAACTTTGAAAACATATAATCCCCAATTAACATTATTTCGTAGAGGACGCCGAAATGACGTCAGGTGTACGCGGCTATGTACCATTTTTATACTAAAAATGCCATAGGAGGGATCTAATAGGAAAACCGACGAAATACGTCGATGGACAAGTGTCCAGCAGACGAACACCAGCCGAGACGACGAGCACCAGCAGAGCAGCCACAAAGTCGATACTAAGTCACAACCCGTTTACCATATTTTTATAATTTAATTATTTGGACTTAGTCTATTTTACGTGTTAAATAAATACAATTGAACTATCATTATAAAATCAACTTGTTATTTAATTCAAAATACCATCAATATTGAATTGAAGTGGTTGGTACGTTACAGATGTATTAATAAAAATATCAACGTTGGATTGAGAGTGTTCATCATTAATTAGTGTCTGCGACTCATTAAAAGAATGTGCATAATTATTCCTATTTTGTAATTCTTCTTGAATATGTCTTCGTTTAGACCGAGCACTCAAATTTGATTCCTTATTAAAACTCATAGTTACTAAAAATAGATATAAAAATACCCACACAAATATAAGTAATTGCTCAAATATAATTTAATAATAAAAATCTATTGAATAGTACCTAGGTAACATAATTAGATATATGGTAGAGATAATCAACCAAATCCACTGTATATGATTTTATAGCTAGGTATACCAATATATTTTTCTTTCCAATTAATTTAACTAAAATGTTTTAAGCAAGACTAAAAAAATATTAAAAACTTATAAACAAATATTATTTTTTATTTAAATAGGAGATATATAATTTGTAATCTATGTAGTGGAAACTGGGGTAAATGTAAATGGTTTTGACAAGGTTTATTTTAATATTAACACTCACCCTTATATAATATGTATTCTACATATTATATATTTTATTTCAATGTAATTATATGTAAAAATGTTCAAGGAACAATATTTTTGGATCATATTTAGTATAAAAACATCATCTAGTTCACAATTTTAAATTTACATTTACCTCTTTACAATAAAAAAATTTAAAAATTTGGAGCAAATAGAAATGAATATCATATCTCTGGTACAATTCATTAGAATAGAAAAAAGTCTGTGGAAGAGTAAATGAATCATCAGTAAATATTAATTATTATTTCAAATGATTATTATGTGAGTTTTTACATTTGCCCTAAAATATATATTAGAATTAGGGCAAATGTAAACAACACAATCTATTCTACATTAAATCGATGGGGCAAATGAAAATAAAACATAATGACAATTCATATAAAATGATAGGTATATTATGTAGGTACATCAGTTGACCCTACATATAACTATATAAGTAACAATAATGAGTACTTACATATTATAACCAGTCAATTAAAACGTACCTACCTACCTAAATGTTTTTAATTTATATAATTAAGTAAGTTAAGTTTTTTATAAGTTATTTATTACCTAATAATAAATGTTTAATATTAATAGCATCTATCTATATTCTATAGTAAAAGTAAAGAGTACCTATAAAGTCCTAAACTCTTATGATAGGTAATTTTCAAGCCGCAAGTTTTGATATGAATATTGCTGGTAGGTAGTTTTTTTTTTTTTGTATTTTCCAAAAGCTTTACTTTTTAGACTTAACCACTTAGATAATTAATTAATTCATATAATAAATAAAATTGAAACTAAAATTTGATTGATAATTTAATAATTAGCCAACTATTGGTTCGTTAAATGTTTAGTGATTGTTTATGCAACCAGAAGAATCCCGAAGATATTATACCTATCAGTCATCTCGGGTGAAAGTCGATTCCCTAACGGACAATCCGCCTACAGCGAAAAGTGCTCGAAACGGCCGTTCAAATCTGATATACCTACCATGTATATTTATTTAATTATGAGAATTAAATCAAATTAACAAATAGATAATTATATTGGTGAATAACAAATTTTATTGAAATGTAATACTATCATATTAAACGTAGGTATGTATAAATGAATACACTATACAATTTTTTGGCACTTATCTTCGTAAGTACCTACTATCATAATATTTTGCTGTTATATTGTATGTCTGTATATAATATATGATGTACCTACCTACCAATTTATTAAATGTCATATGATGTTTTAAATTATTTAGTAATTATAATTGCATAATTATAATGGTGCATCATTGTGTTATGACTTATCACATATGTATTATGTTTATGAAAGTGTGTATGAAAAAATCGAACTTTTTGTCGCATATTTTCATTTCCGTATAAAGTAATAACAACACTGTCCGCTCCCCGATCTCCTCCGCGGAACTCGACTCGAGCGAAGTACTGACGACGGCGGCTTATAAATTTAGAGGGGAATGCCAATAACATCCAAACAGGCAGGGTAATACCACTAAAACGGGCCAAGAAACGAATTTTAGAAAAAAAACAGCAAAAAACGACGCGACGCATGTATTTATTGCTGTATATAGCGATACTTACACGGTACCTACTCCCTTTTCCGCGACGCCGCTCTTTCCCGGGACTCGTCTGTGAAAAAGTAGGGCCACGCACCGGCTATAAATTTAGCGGGTAACGCGAATTTTCAAACGGGGAGGGTAATACGACCAAAATTAGCTAAAACTCAAATTTTTGAAAAAAAAAGAAAAAAAAAAAGAAATCGAACTCTTCGTCGCATAATATATTCACGCCCATGTATAGTAATAAAGACACTGTCCGCTCTGCTAAATCATTTGACGGGGAACGCGAGTAAGTCTTCAACGGGGAGGTCCGAAGTCAGTAGAGGCGTTAAAACTCGAATTTTGAAAAAAATCGGAACATTTACGTTAAAAATGATAAGACGGAAGTGATAGCGAACGACGAAAAAAAAAAACCCGAAAAAAAAATTAATTATCACGGCCGCCGCAAATTATCGGATATTCCCGGGGGCCGGGTTTGAACCCACGACCCTAACGCCTAA